AGGGCATTGAAGATGAAACGTGGCTGGGTCTTTCAGCATGACAATGATCCCAAACACACCGCCCGGGCAACGAAGGAGTGGCTTCGTAAGAAGCATTTCAAGGTCCTGGAGTGGCCTAGCCAGTCTCCAGATCTCAACCCCATAGAAAATCTTTGGAGGGAGTTGAAAGTCTGTGTTGCCCAGCGACAGCCCCAAAACATCACTGCTCTAGAGGAGATCTGCATGGAGGAATGGGCCAAAATACCAGCAACAGTGTGTGAAAACCTTGTGAAGACTTACAGAAAACGTTTGACCTGTGTCATTGCCAACAAAGGGTATATAACAAAGTATTGAGAAACTTTTGTTATTGACCAAATACTTATTTTCCACCATAATTTGCAAATAAATTCATTAAAAATCCTACAATGTGATTTTTCTGGATTTTTTTTCTCATTTTGTCTGTCATAGTTGACGTGTACCTATGATGAAAATTACAGGCCTCTCTCATCTTTTTAAGTGGGAGAACTTGCACAATTGGTGGCTGACTAAATACTTTTTTTCCCCACTGTATGTTGCCCTACGAGTTGGGCAAGGTTGGTAGAATCGTATTCAAAATTATTCACAGCTGTAATGGCTGCCAAAGATGCTTCCACCAAGTATGAAAAATGTATGCACTCACTGAAACTGTAAGTCGCTCTGGACAAGAGCGTCTGCTAAATGACTAAAATGTAAAAATGTAAGTATTAACTCTGGGGTGTGAAAACATACGCATTTGATTTTTTATTCATTTAAATAAATGTTCTATAATTTCCTTTCACTTTGAAAATGTGGAGTAGATTGTGTAGATCCATGTGAAAAAAATCAAATAATCCCTTTTTAGATGTAGTTCTAATGCAGAAAAATGTGAAGACTATGTTGCCATGCAGGTAATCACCCACATCTACCCAGTAACTCTGTGTTATCAGATGTCTTTGTAATGAAATGTTATAATCAGAAATATTTATCATGGTGAGCTGCATAAGTAGGGTTGCAAAGGGAGGGTATATTACTGGAAACGTTCAAAGTTTACCAGTAAACTACCAGAATTTTGGTATCTTTTAAAGGAGTTTATGTAATCTAGCAGCCCTTTTGGGTATTTCAGATTATCACAGGTGTCTGTAATTATCTCTGGTCCCCTGTGTGGCCTTATCACATGTAAAATATATGAAATAATGAAATAATATTTTAAAAAAGAATGACAAAGCTGTAAAACATTACCCCCCCCCCAAAAATAAAAAATAAAATAAAGTTATCCCCAGAATAGTTATCCCCACAGAATGCTTTTCTTATAAATGTAATAGATCAGTAAAATGCATGTGCAGGAGAATATTGTTTTGTTTAAAACTTTCAAAGTTCAAACAATTTCATAGTATTTTTATCAGTAGACTGTGCCTTATTGTGGTGCACTAGGTACAGTATTGTCACTAAGCAGCATTTGATCATATCAGCCATGTGATGGTCTGTGCCTGGGGCATAGGGCTGTCCCCGACTAAAAACAAATCTTGGTCGACCGAAAGTCGGCTGTTCTTTCTACCAATCAATTGTTCCAAATTTTTTAACTAGCATTTTTCTATAAATAGACACACCCTATGTGTTTTAATAAAACTTTTAACATTGTATCAACTATTAACTTGGGTCCTGCCCAAAGCTTGCTCTAGCGAACTTGCAACATTGTATAAAATATTCTGGGTCCTCATGACAGACACAGCTCTAGGCTATTTGCGCAAGGGATAAGAAGCAGTGCTTTACTTGGGCAGGAGCTCGCCAGAGCGGAGTACCGGCACCTCAAATTTTCTACTGCATGAGCTCCTGTACCTCTTATAGAATATTATCTCAAAAGTATTGTGGCGCTTCTGCACCTAAATAAAAACAGTACCAGCACCCAAAATGAGTACCGGAACCTATTTCAGACCAAGTCAAGCACTTATAAGAAGCCTATTTTATGACTTTTCCACTGGATCAGAGCATGACGTTTTTCCCTTTCATGCCGAGTGGTTATCGAAAGGGAGAGCTGGAAATATTTTTCAAATACAGTGAGGAACTATTGTAATTCTCAATGGATGTAAAAACAGACTTCATTTGCTTGCTGTTTGAGGTGAAAAAAACATTACCTTGAGAAGCTCCACAGGTCATTAGTGGTGGTGCGTTAAGACAATCAGAAATACTATCTGTGCACTCTGCAAACAATGTGTCCACTCCGAGAATGAGAACAGGAAGACTGGAATAATAATATTGAATGCATTAAAAGAAATGCCCGTAACCAATGTAATAATTATTAACTGTAAATGTACTACTGGTGATAAATGTAATGGTGAATTGATATACACTAACTAACCAGCTGTTTTGAGCCCCGCCTGTTTAGCTAAATATATATATATATATATATATATATATATATATATATATATATATATATATATTGTCACGACCGTCGGATATAGAGGACCAAGGCGCAGCGTGGAAGGTGAACATACTTATTTATTAAATGATACACGAACAAAACAACAAATCGATACGTGACGTCCACAGGTGCAAAACACAAACCAACACGGAACAAGATCCCACAAACACTGTGGGAAAACTGGCTGCTTAAGTATGGTTCCCAATCAGAGACAACAAGCAACAGCTGATACACGTTGCCTCTGATTGAGAACCACACTGGCCAACATAGAACTACAAAACTAGAACGAAAAACAAATGAAAACTCACACCCTGGCTCAACATACTAGAGTCCCCAGAGCCAGGGCGTGACATATATATGGGTTTTTTCTCCTGTTTTGCATGTTATTTTGACATTAATACATGTCTGATATCAGTTTGCAAACAATGTAAAAATAATTAAATAAATAAAAACACAAACATTAGAATAGAACATCTGGGCGCATGGTCAATCAGAAGTCTGCATTGGCCATGCAGCATTAATGGTGATATGGCCTCAGCAGAAGTCAGGGCAAGTATGGCCTAGGCAGAAGTCAGGGCATTCATACTTCGCAGAGCTGTTGTCAAGGAAGTGAGTTTGTGTTTATACAGGATGTACCGCCCCCACCTACCATCAACCAATCATGTCAATGCCGAGCTATGCAGGTGCATGGCGATGTGGTAGAGAGCTCGATTTGGACTCTGCATGCTTCTGGAGGCTCCGCAATTACGTCACACCCTCCATATGGAGCCTCCGACCACATTTTGTAATCAAGCATAAATTGGCTTTTAGTCTAGGCCTCCACAATGGATTAGTTCACTGAGATGGGCGCCAATATATATACAGTGAGGGAAATAAGTATTTGATCCCCTGCTGATTTTGTACGTTTGCCCACTGACAAAGACATGATCAGTCTATAATTTTTTAATGGTAGGTTTATTTGAACAGTGAGAGACAGAATAACAACAAACAAATAAAGAAAAACACAGGGAAATAAGTATTTGACCCCTCTGCAAAACATGACTTAGTACTTGGTGGCAAAACCCTTGTTGGCAATCACAGAGGTCAGACGTTTCTTGTAGTTGGGCACCAGGTATGCACACATCTCAGGAGGGATTTTGTCCCACTCCTCTTTGCAGATCTTCTCCAAGTCATTAAGGTTTCGAGGCTGACGTTTGGCAACTCAAACCTTCAGCTCCCTCCACAGATTTTCTATGGGATTAAGGTCTGGAGACTGGCTAGGCCACTCCAGGACCTTAATGTGCTTCTTCTTGAGCCACTCCTTTGTTGCCATGGCCGTGTGTTTTGGGTCATTGTCATGCTGGAATACCCATCCACGACCCATTTTCAATGCACTGGCTGAGGGAAAGAGGTTCTCACCCAAGATTTGACGGCACATGGCCCCGTCCATCGTCCCTTTGATGCGGTGAAGTTGTCCTGTCCCCTTAGCAGAAAAATACCCCCAAAGCATAATGTTTACACCTCCATGTTTGACGGTGGGGATGGTGTTCTTGGGGTCATAGGCAGCATTCTTCCTCCTCCAAACACGGCGAGTTGAGTTGATGCCAAAGAGCTCAATTTTGGTCTCATCTGACCACAACACTTTCACCCAGTTCTCCTCTGAATCATTCAGATGTTCATTGGCAAACTTCAGACGGGCCTGTATATGTGCTTTCTTGAGCAGGGGGACCTTGCGGGCGCTACAGGATTTCAGTCCTTCACGGTGTAGTGTGTTACCAATTGTTTTCTTGGTGACTATGGTCCCAGCTGCCTTGAGATCATTGACAAGATCCTCCCGTGTAGTTCTGGGCTGATTCCTCACCGTTCTCATGATCATTGCAACACCTCGAGGTGAGATCTTGCATGGAGCCCCAGGCCGAGGGAGATTGACAGTTATTTTGTGTTTCTTCCATTTGCGAATAATCACACCAATTGTTGTCACCTTCTCACCAAGCTGCTTGGCGATGGTCTTGTAGCCCATTCCAGCCTTGTGTAGGTCTACAATCTTGTCCCTGACATCCTTGAAGAGCTCTTTGGTCTTGGCCATGGTGGAGAGTTTGGAATCTGATTGATTGATTGCTTCTGTGGACAGGTGTATTTTATACAGGTAACAAACTGAGATTAGGAGCACTCCCTTTAAGAGTGTGCTCCTAATCTCAGCTCGTTACCTATATAAAAGACACCTGGGAGCCAGAAATTTTTCTGATTGAGAGGGGGTCAAATACTTTTTTCCCTCATTAAAATGCAAATCAATTAATAACATTTTTGACATGCGTTTTTCTGGATTTGTTTGTTGTTATTCTGTCTCTCACTGTTCAAATACACCTACCATTAAAATTATAGACTGATCATTTCTTTGTCAGTGGGCAAACATACAAAATCAGCAGGGGATCAAATACTTTTTTCCCTCACTGTATATATATATATATATATATATATATATATATATATATACATACATATATATATATATATTATATTATATTATATTACATTTGTTACTGCTCGACTAAAACAATCTCTGTCGACCAACAGCCTAATGACCAAACAATCGACCAGTCGACTAATTGCGGTCAGCCCTACTGGGGCGTTTAGTTTGCAGGAAGCTCTTGATGTTCTGGCGACACAGAGGGCAGGTTCCAAACTCTTGGATCACTCTGTTGGCACACTGGAGACACAGGCACTGGTGGCCACACTGCAGGCTGATACAGGCCTCCTGGCTCATACACACCGCACAGTACTCCACGCTCTCAGAGTCTGCAATCAATGAGATACGCTCAATTACATGACCTATAAGGTCAAGTGGGACTTGGCTCAGCATCACTATGAAGTTACGGTGGTTAGTGTTTTGGTGTCCATAAGGTTGATCCGGTCGTCATTTCTGCTAAACCTAGAGTATGGCAAAGTTATGTTTTTTTAATATATTTTTTTTATAGTTAAAGCTCATTTACTGCATTTCTACACAATTTTAAAACTCTAAAATACTATTTGGAGAACAGCAAAAACTAGCTAAATTGACTCCACCCATTATCACCTTAGCTGCTGTAGCTTAATTCACCTCAACACATGTCATACAGCAATTAGCTGCTACACCCTAGCTCAGCACCGGGATTAAAAACTTGTTTAGTTCATGTCAAGTCAAACAGCAGTTACAGTGGGGGAAAAAAAGTATTTAGTCAGCCACCAATTGTGCAAGTTCTCCCACTTAAAAATATGAGCGAGGCCTGTAATTTCCATCATAGGTACACGTCAACTATGACAGACAAATTGCGATTTTTTTTCTCCAGAAAATCACATTGTAGGATTTTTAATGAATTTATTTGCAAATTATGGTGGAAAATAAGAATTTGGTCACCTACAAACAAGCAAGATTTCTGGCTCTCACAGACCTGTAACTTCTTCTTTAAGAGGCTCCTCTGTCCTCCACTCGTTACCTGTATTAATGGCACCTGTTTGAACTTGTTATCAGTATAAAAGACACCTGTCCACAACCTCAAACAGTCACACTCCAAACTCCACTATGGCCAAGACCAAAGAGCTGTCAAAGGACACCAGAAACATAATTGTAGACCTGCACCAGGCTGGGAAGACTGAATCTGCAATAGGTAAGCAGCTTGGTTTGAAGAAATCAACTGTGGGAGCAATTATTAGGAAATAGAAGACATACAAGACCACTGATAATCTCCCTCGATCTGGGGCTCCACGCAAGATCTCACCCCGTGGGGTCAAAATGATCACAAGAACGGTGAGCAAAAATCCCAGAACCACACGCGGGGTCCTAGTAAATGACCTGCAGAGAGCTGGGACCAAAGTAACAAAGCCTACCATCAGTAACACACTACGCCGCCAGGGACTCAAATCCTGCAGTGCCAGACGTGTCCCCCTGCTTAAGCCAGTACATGTCCAGGCCCGTCTGAAGTTTGCTAGAGTGCATTTGAATGATCCAGAAGAGGATTGGGAGAATGTCATATGGTCAGATGAAACCAAAATATAACTTTTGGTAAAAACTCAACTCGTCGTGTTTGGAGGACAAAGAATGCTGAGTTGCATCCAAAGAACACCATACCTACTGTGAAGCATGGGGGTGGAAACATCATGCTTTGGGGCTGTTTTTCTGCAAAGGGACGAGGACGACTGATCCGTGTAAAGGAAAGAATGAATGGGGCCATGTATCGTGAGATTTTGAGTGAAAACCTCCTTCCATCAGCAACGGGCATTGAAGATGAAACGTGGCTGGGTCTTTCAGCATGACAATGATCCCAAACACACCGCCCGGGCAACGAAGGAGTGGCTTCGTAAGAAGCATTTCAAGGTCCTGGAGTGGCCTAGCCAGTCTCCAGATCTCAACCCCATAGAAAACCTTTGGAGGGAGTTGAAAGTCTGTGTTGCCCAGCGGCAGCCCCAAAACATCACTGCTCTAGAGGAGATCTGCATGGAGGAATGGGCCAAAATACCAGCAACAGTGTGTGAAAACCTTGTGAAGACTTACAGAAAACGTTTGACCTGTGTCATTGCCAACAAAGGGTATATAACAAAGTATTGAGAAACTTTTGTTATTGACCAAATACTTATTTTCCACCATAATTTGCGAATAAATTCATTAAAAATCATACAATGTGATTTTCTGGATTTATTTTTCTCATTTTGTCTGTCATAGTTGACGTGTACCTATGATGAAAACTACAAGCCTCTCTCATCTTTTTAAGTGGGAGAACTTGCACAATTGGTGGCTGACTAAATACTTTTTTCCCCCACTGTACCTAGCATCTACAGCCACTTTCCATCCCTGCACTGTTTTGAGAGAAAAGTCGCGCAGTTCACCAGCCAGGTCCGAGGTGTCCACATGGGCCTAAAACATGCTCTCTACTACCGCGCCCATCTTTTTTTTTTTCTTTCTTTTTTTTTCTTTAACCTTTATTTAACCAGGTAAACCAGTTGAGAACAAGTTCTCATTTACAACTGCGACCTGGCCAAGATAAAGCAAAGCAGTGCGATAAAAAACAACAACACAGAGTTACATATGGGGTAAACAAAACATAAAGTCAAAAATACAACAGAAAATATATATACAGTGTGTGCAAATGTAGCAAGTTATGGAGGTAAGGCAATAAATAGGCCATAGTGCAAAATAATTACAATTTAGTATTAACAATGGAATGATGGATGTGCAAGAGATGATGTGCAAATAGAGACACTGGGGTGCAAATGAGCAATAAATAACAATATGGGGATGAGTTGTTGGGTGGGCTAATTACAGATGGGCTGTGTACAGGTGCAGTGATCGGTAAGCTGCTCTGACAACTGATGCTTAAAGATAGTGAGGGAGATAAGTGTCTCCAGCTTCAGAGATTTTTGCAGTTTGTTCCAGTCATTGGCAGCAGAGAACTGGAAGGAATGGCGGCCAAAGGAGGTGTTGGCTTTGGGGATGACCAGTGAGATATACCTGCTGGAGCGCATACTACGGGTGGGTGTTGCTATGGTGACCAATGAGCTAAGATAAGGCAGGGATTTGCCTAGCAGTGATTTATAGATGACCTGGAGCCAGTGGGTTTGGCGACGAATATGTAGTGAGGACCAACCAACAAGAGCGTACAGGTCACAGTGGTGGGTAGTATATGGGGCTTTGGTGACCATCCGCATGGTCCGAAAGCCAGCCCCTTAATACCACTAAACTGCATTTGCCTTTTAATGGGGATTGAAATTGTTGGTGTTGAGAGCTAATGTATGGCGACTGCCATACCCAATTGACACCCGAGCCCTACATGAGGCTAACGTACTGTAGCTACAGTGGGGAAAAAAAGTATTTAGTCAGCCACCAATTGTGCAAGTTCTCCCACTTAAAAAGATGAGAGAGGCCTGTAATTTTCATCATAGGTACACGTCAACTATGACCACTGTTGCTGGTATTTTGGCCCATTCCTCCATGCAAATCTCCTCTAGATCTCCACGCAGTGATGTTTTGGGGCTGTTACTGGGCAACACGGACTTTCAACTCCCTCCAAAGATTTTCTATGGGGTTGAGATCTGGAGACTGGCTAGGCCACTCCAGGACCTTGAAATGCTTCTTACGAAGCCACTCCTTCGTTGCCCGGGCGGTGTGTTTGGGATCATTGTCATGCTGAAAGACCCAGCCACGTTTCATCTTCAATGCCCTTGCTGATGGAAGGAGGTTTTCACTCAAAATCTCACGATACATGGCCCCATTCATTCTTTCCTTTACACGGATCAGTCGTCCTGGTCCCTTTGCAGAAAAACAGCCCCAAAGCATGATGTTTCCACCCCCATGCTTCACAGTAGGTATGGTGTTCTTTGGATGCAACTCAGCATTCTTTGTCCTCCAAACACGACGAGTTGAGTTTTTATAAAAAAGTTATATTTTGGTTTCATCTGACCATATGACATTCTCCCAATCCTCTTCTGGATCATCCAAATGCACTCTAGCAAACTTCAGACGGGCCTGGACATGTACTGGCTTAAGCAGGGGGACACTTCTTGCACTGCAGGATTTGAGTCCCTGGCGGCGTAGTGTGTTACTGATTGTAGGCTTTGTTACTTTGGTCCCAGCTCTCTGCAGGTCATTCACTAGGTGTTTCTGTGTTCACTGTGTGGTTCTGGGATTTTTGCTCACCGTTCTTGTGATCATTTTGACCCCACGGGGTGAGATCTTGCGTGGAGCCCCAGATCGAGGGAGATTATCAGTGGTCTTGTATGTCTTCTATTTCCTAATAATTGCTCCCACAGTTGATTTCTTCAAACCAAGCTGCTTACCTATTGCAGATTCAGTCTTCCCAGCCTGGTGCAGGTCTACAATTATGTTTCTGGTGTCCTTTGACAGCTCTTTGGTCTTGGCCATAGTGGAGTTTGGAGTGTGACTGTTTGAGGTTGTGGACAGGTGTCTTTTATACTGATAACAAGTTCAAACAGGTGCCATTAATACAGGTAACGAGTGGAGGACAGAGGAGCCTCTTAAAGAAGAAGTTACAGGTCTGTGAGAGCCAGAAATCTTGCTTGTTTGTAGGTGACCAAATTCTTATTTTCCACCATAATTTGCAAATAAATTCATTACAAATCCTACAATGTGATTTTCTGGAGAAAAAAAATCGCAATTTGTCTGTCATAGTTGACGTGTACCTATGATGAAAATTACAGGCCTCTCTCATCTTTTTAAGTGGGAGAATTTGCACAATTGGTTGCTGACTAAATAAAAATTTTCCCCACTGTATGTCCTTGAACAAGTGTAGCTTAGATGTTTCTGTAAACGTTAAGCTACACAAGAGTACATGTGTAAAATGTTAGCATGTAAAAATTGTAGGTTTGCCAAGCATGTGACAATAGAAACATATATATTTATAACATTTTTTAAAGAATACCTTAGATTAAATATCAAGTTATTACACTCAAATGAAGTACCTTTTTCATTAAAAATATCCAAAACAAGATAGCAGGAGTTTATTGTATCATTGTGATGCTTACCTGATGTCTGCTTATTGGCTGGACGGGAAAGAAGATAGCTGTCATGTCTGTCATCACAAATCTGGCTCACATTCACATAGTTGTCAATATTGAGTGAGGTGTGTCTCTGACGAGCAGGACAGGACTTTCGATTCCCGAAAAACTCTTTCTTCTCCGACCCTACAAGAAACAACCATATTTCTGGTTAGTCACTGACACTGACAGATGGACATAATTTCAAACCAAGAAATCAAATTAGAAGGACAGACTGCATTGTTCATTAATACATTTTACATTGATTTCTGAACTTACCCAGTAAGAGCACAGAGCAGGTCTGCCCATACACGTCAATCATGGCCCACAGGGGACGGCTGAGGTCCACTCCCTTCAGCAGTTTGTGTTGTCGCCTGTTAGCATTACTGAAATACACTGTACCGCCATAGGAGACCCAGAACTCCAGCTCTGAGCCTGGCAGGCAGCAAGTCTCAGGCACAGGAGCAGCCCAGTGGCCAGGGAGGTCTGTGAGGTATGGGATGGCCAGGGAGGGCAGGGCTCTGGCAATAGGAGGCACATTGGTGAAGCCCACACGCATGGCTCCATGCCAGGTCAGCTCGCACAACTCCACTCGCAGACAAACCCTCTCCCGGGGCTGTACCGGGCGGCTGCTGAACACCAGGCCGTGTCTGAAGGTGACCCCAGTTCTGTCTGCCCTTCTGGCCCCCTGGCTCAGGCTCACCAAGGCCCCCATCGCCTTCCTATGGAAGGTCAAGGGGCCCAGGCAGTGGGGTCCACAAATGTGTCCTGTCTCAGACTCTAAAGGAGATTAAAAAAGAGCAACTAGGGTTAATCACTGGAATGCTACAGTACCTCAGTCAATGATAAAAACAAAACTAACAAAGAATGTCTGAAGGTGACTGAGAATGAAACTGACACTGCTTTACTGAAATACATTTTTTTTTTGTGCCAACAAAGTAGATATAGAGAAGTCTAGTCAAGGGATCTGAATGACAACAATTTGTTTTGTATTCAGTAACTATAAATCTCTAATTGTATCTGGTGCCATTCTGAACTGTATAGTGGCTCATGATCAATACTAAATGTTACTTCTAAAAGATGAAATGAGATTAGTGTTATTAGCTAACTAGTGCAGGGTGGATCCTTTGAGTTTTGTAATGACAATTTGACGTTATTTTAATGGACAAAAAAATTGCTTGTATATACAGTATATATTGTACTACTTTAATGTTTGTAGATATAAAGATGAACTTCACATGAGACCATTATAATATAAGTGGAAATGTACTAGAGCGGTATCATTTTCCTCCAATAACAATTACAACACAGTTGTCATCATTCATCAATAAGAGGCCATCCTTACCAAGGCTTCTGCTGACCATCTCCTTCATCATCTTGTACAGGTTGCTTTTCATATTCTCTGCAATCTATAGTACACCTATAGTAGGTTGAGTATAGTTCTGAGGTGGTGGGTGTTTGCTGTTTTTATACTCCTCTCAGTCTACATGTTCCAGTAGTTTATACACAAAACATAACTCATCACACAAGGAAAGAGAAAGTGGATGGCTAAGGGGAGGGACAGTTCTTCTAAGTCAGGTTTTTTTTGTGCTGCATATTTCGCCTGGTGTCAACACTCACTTGACTACTGATCCCTATGTGCTTCTTTAAAAGAAAACCTATCATATGATTACTACAAGTTAGTTATTGGACTAAAACTGTCGATTTTTTATTTGTTTTATCCAACACCATTTTCCATTTTATGATATCTTTGAAAATAGTACAGATACTTTTTGAAAAGCATGATCAAACTGTTGTGGGAAATCAACCACAGTTTATAACATCTATAGCAGTGGTTCCCAACAAGGGGGGGCGCGTGATCTCATTTGCTTTTCTGGGGCAGAAATGAGTGAGGTTCAGAATGACATGTGGAGTGCATCACATGTATACGCGTGATCTCATTTGCTTTGAGGTCAAACATGCATAAAATGTTCCACTATAATTTAATTGTAAAATTAATACATTTTAAAATGTTATTAAAATCATATGCTTGCAATGCCAAGGCCAATCTAAAAAAGTATAATAATGGCAGAGAAATGTATAAGCGGTAATTCCCCGGGAAAAAGTGTAAACATCAATGACCCGCGCCTAATCAGTTTCAGCTAGCAGCTCGTTTTTCCTGCAGTCAGAGCATCACTATTTTATGAATAAAACAACATGTCTAAGAACGTAAAAGTGCTGATGACTCATCATCAAAAAAGAAAGTAAGGCTATATCTCGAGAGTTATCTTAACTTCGGTTTTATTGAAGGACAGGACTCGGCCAGAATGTGTCATTTGTGGCGAGAAGCTAGCTAATGACAGCATGAAGCCAAGCAAAATGCAACGACACTAGGAAACAAAACACCAGGAGACTATTGGTGAAGGTCAGGATTTTTTTGAGAGGAAGAAGCAGTTGGCACTATCAAAAAGATCCACAGACATCAGAAAAGCATTTGAAAGAGCAGGCAGTGATTTACACAGAGCCATGGAGGCGTCATTTGAGTGTTTGCTATTAATTGCCAAGGCTAAAAAGCCACACAATATTGGAGAGCAGCTAATAAAACCCGCCTGCCTGAAAATTGTAGAGAGGCTGTGTGGCCCACAGGTGGTGGATAAAGTGAGAACCGTCCCACTCTCTGACAACACTGTCAAAGACAGAATTTATAAAATGGCTGGAGATTGTCAAAACCAGCTGCACGAGAAGCTTAGGAATGTTCCCTTTGCCATTCAGTTGGATGAAACAACAACAGTGTCAGACGAATCCGTGCTCATCGTTTATGTGCAATATATTGACGGTGATGATTTGAAACAAGACATTCTTATGTCTACCAATCTAGCCACAACAACAACAGGCCAAGATATTTTTATAGCTATGGACTCATATCTCTCGTCCAACAATCTGCCCTACGAGAATATTGTTGCATGCTGCACTGATGGGGATGCAGCATTGATGGGCAAAAACAAGGGATTTAACAGCCGATTGAAGGAAAAAGCCCCGGGGTGCGCAATTTTCCACTGCATGCTACATCGCCAAGCATTGGCCAGTACAAAAATTTCGGAAGACCTTAGTAACACCCTGGCAACTGTTGTTAAAGTTGTAAACTTTATTAAGGCTCGCCCTACTGTTTGCCCAACTGTGTGAGGATGAAGCGCATCAAACACTGCTGTTACACACAGAGGTACGCTGGTTGTGCTTGTGCGTTTTATGGAACTGCAGGAAAAAATAAAGGAATTCTTGCAAGATCACAATCGACCACTGTGCGAACAGCTGACTGATGCGTTTTGGATCAAAACGGCATACCTAGCGGATACATTCACTCTCTACAATGAGACAAACAAGCGGATGCAGGGTCCTGAATCAAACGTCATGCAGTGCAAAGATTCTCACCGACGCTTTTGTGAGGAAACTGGAGTACAGAGTTGGAAAAATGTAAAAAGGGGAGCTACAACAATTTCCACTGCTGATGAAACAGTCTGGTGGCACTGTGCCTGTGTCTTTACGCACTGAGTTTACCAGGCAAATGAACATGCTTCGGGAGGAAATTAAATCCTGTTTTGCCGATGTTGACGAATAAAGCCTGTGCCTACTCCCCGCACCAAACCAGTGGTGCGTGTATCCAGTCCAGTACGGCCCGTGCCTGCTCCTCGCACTAGACCAGTGGTGCGTGTATCCAGTCCGGCACGGCCCGTGCCTGCTCCTCGCACCAAACTAGTGGTGCATGTTCCCAGCCCGGTGCGGCCCGTGCCTGTTCCTCGCACCAGACCAGTGGTGCGTGTCCCCAGCCCGGTACGGCTGGTGCCAGAGAAGTCCGCTCCACTGGTGCCTAGTCTAGCTCCGGTCAGCTGCTCCACTCCGGTGCCAGAGCAGTACGCTCCACCGGTGTCTAGTCCAGCTCCGGTCAGCTGCTCCACTCCTGTGCCAGAGCAGTCCGCTCCACCGGTGCCCAGTCCAGCTCTGGTCAGCTGCTCCAGTCCAGAGCCAGAGCAGTCCGCTCCACCGGGGTCCAGTTCAGCTCCGGTCAGCGGCTCCACTCCAGTGCCTGAGTAGTCCGCTCTACCGGTGCCTAGTCCCGGTCAGCTGCTCCAGTCCAGAGCCAGAGCAGTCTGCTCCACCGGGGTCCAGTTCAGCTCCGGTCAGCGGCTCCACACCAGGGTCCAGACAGGGCTTGGTGCATCGCGGGGGGATTGCCGGTCCAGGCCCAGACGTCAGCCCCTCTCCAGGGTCGGGGCCTCCCGCACCAGGGTCCAGACAGGGCTTGGTGCATTGTGGGAGGACTGAGAGGGGAAGCATCGCGCCGAGGTCCAGACCGGACCAGGGGTGCAACGGGGAGGCAGAAGGGGAGAGGACGTCACGCCCGGAGCCGGAGCCGCCACCGATTAATCAGGTTGGTGCGGCTGGAGTCCGCACCTTTGGGGGGGTACTGTCACTAGAATGCTAGAGGTTATCATGTGAATATCTAGGTATCTATGTGTAAATCTAGAATATATATTTATATGTTGGCCGGGTGTGGTTCCCAATCAGAGGCACCTGTCGCTCTTTGTCTCTGATTGTGGATCATACTTAGGTAGCCATTTTGCCTACCTATGTTGTGGGATCTTGACTCTTGTTTGGCTTGTTTGTGTGTAGCCATTGTGAGCTTCACGTTTCGTTGTTTTGTCGTGTGTTAACTTAATTAATAAACATGTATGCATTCCACGCTGCACCTTGGTCCAATCCTGTACTCAACGAACGTGACACACCCAGATTGGCCAAACAGGGTTATTCAGCTTTTCTTAGATACAAGTAGGGGGCGCTCCAAGGAAAAAAGGTTGGGAACCACTGATCTATAGCACATCATATAGGTATCAAGTTAGTAGTATCACTTTCATTTCACATCATTCAGATCAAACCAGGTTCTTTATGTACAGTGCCTTCAGAAAGTAATCACACCCAATGTTCCCTCTAATTGTTTTCGGCACTGAGCAAATTTCAGGTCTGCTGAGCGCAAACTTTAACATTGTGAAAATGTTGTGCAACTTCCGGGGTGTGTTTACTGTGAACACTGAGGCTGTACCCGCTTTAAGTTACAGTTTTAACAGCGGCCAAGTAGGCTGCTGTGCTATTTGATCATAATGTAGGCATACCAGAGTGGCCTACCATCAAAAATAATGGAGAAAAATAACATTTTTACATGGAAATAGCTGTTCTGTCAGTAGCAGCAAATGTGTGGTGTTCAATATAGGCCTACATTCCATGAGACTTAAGCAAAAAACATGCAGGGCTTGCCATTAACCTGTTTGTCCACTTGTCCTTCAGACAAGGTGGTGACTGAAAATGTTGTGTTGTTTGATGCAAGAAACCACTTTACAAAATAAAATTCATTATTATTCCCGTACCAATTTTAGAGAGAAACAGACAAATTAAGCTACCCTCTGCCTATTGGGTACTTAGCTTATTTAAGACCATCTCAAAATACAACTCTGCCCCTTTAAGACATACAAAAAAACTATTTACCTGACTCGCTTTTCAAAGATGTCTAGAAATGCACACATTCTGTGATCTTGTAGGAAGCAACCACTCCCCCATTGTTGACTAGAAATTAGCCATAACTGGGCTAATAACTCACTAACCAGCAAAGAATATGAACAAATGTGCACAGGCGGCTGGCTACATGCAGCTCTCGCTTTGATATCAAAACAAGCGCATCTAATCGTGCCCACTCATGCTATAAACACAGTCCAGTTCAAAATGAATGGCACAGATCCATACATGGCAATGGCTATTTGCATACAGGCCTACTGCAGCTCTGATTGGTTATCAAATCAAATCAAATGTTATTGGTCACATACACATATTTAGCAGATGTTATTCTGGGAGTAGCGAAATGCTTGTGTTCCTAACAGTGCAGCACACCAGTCTGTGTACAGGCCTGAGTCCTGCCTGTCAATGCAATATAATCTTCCTCCATTGTGCTCTGCTTACAATAAAATATCTCACACAGTTAGGGTTGCATACTAAGTTCGTTTTGTTTTGGTATGTTACATTGAAAGTGGCTAATATTGCGTTGATACGAGCACATTTCCCACAGTAGAGCGAAACGTTAATAGTGTTAACTAAAGTTCAATCTCGTGCTTCTCTGCGCAGGCTGATATTTCTTCTGTGCTGTTCACACCCCTTTACTTTATTTTCTTATTTTTTTGTTACAGCCTGGATTTCAAATTGATTACATTTAGAGTTTGTGTCACTAATCTACACACAATACCCCATAATGTCAAAGTGGAATTTTGTTTATAGAATTTCTTTGAAATTAATAGAAAATGTAAAGCTGAACTGTCAATAAGTATTCAACCCTTTTTTATGGCAAGCCTAAATAAGTTAAAGAGTAGAAATGTGATTA